CACATATTTTACTATATTCCCTGGATTACCTGAAATACGCAGGTTTTCTTAAAAGGATTTATTAAAGAGCCATTAAGTCATCCATTAAGTATTTTGCTCCCCAAAACTGAATGTAACATTTTTCAGAAATCTGACATGTGAAGATTTCTTTCACAAATATTAACTATGTGCATATACTTGTTTTCACATGTCACCTAAATGCTTGCAGTCAAACATTGGAAAGAACATCCAAGCTCACATCGATACTATCCTGTTTGTCATATTAAACTGTCTAGCTCCAGTATATAAGGAAACCTGCATAACTTAGAATATGCTCAAAAATAACTTCAGTAGAAGGCAATACAGAGCTACTATCCATCATATCTTCTTTTTTTTCACAGCCTGTATAAATGTCCATGATTGTTTAAGGCTTCTGCTACTTGGGCTGAGTGAAAGTGAGACCTCTTGTTCCCTGAGTTCTTATCAGTAGAGCAATTCTGCTGCTCACACTTGAAACCAGAAATCTGCCTCCCCCATCTTCCACTTTGGTGCCATTGAGAGGCACTGTCATGCACGAGACATGCTATCACTTTATCATAGTGAGAATGTGTAGTCTACAGCCTCCCCTCCCTTTGATCAAACACACAAGTTAAGAGTGAGAGAGTCCCTGTGTTCAGAGATTTTTGATCCAAGTAAAAAGTGGAGTTTGGAAATACATTCTTCTACAAAGGTGATTTCCTCCTTTACATGGTGATGATCGTTTTTCTCGAATGAAGATGCAATCATGCCGTTTCTCTCCCATAAAAGCATTTAAACCATGCTTCCTTCTTTGATTTCTTTCATCACTATATTTATTAAGCTATCTGATTGGCATGAAATTTGGTACGTTAAGGTATTCTTTTCCTCACAAAGTATATTTAATCAAAATAGTATATACGTAAAAAAATCACTAAGATATATATATATATGTATATATATACATATATATATATATATGTCATCAAATATCCTCATTGCTAAAGTATTTTAATGGGCTTCTCCATTTTCGAAGAGCATTACTACCAAAACAAATTCAGCTAAGATTAGAGACTACAAAGATAGAATAAAAAATATGTATGTTCTTTTAAATATGCACTACACTGTAATCCTATTACAGAGGGCATGGAAAGTTTTCACCAACGAGTGCAATACAGGAAGACTGGCTAGTATACTTTGCTATTCTGAAGCACTCACTGGCCTAAGAATCACCTAAGGTCACAGGACTCCCACAACTACCATGCATCAAAACTAGAGTAGAGTTCACAAACCTGCAGCAGTTTTTATCCTCAGAAGGAAATCTATTACATGCTATCACTAAAGAGTATTTCGGCTCATCAAGAGTAGCAGAATTCTCTCAAGGTTACTTAATTGAGTTTTTAACCTCTTTATTGGTAAAGACTTAGATGTAATAAATATACATACATTACTCCTCCTATCTGCAAAATATCTTTGAACTTGAAGGCCTTAGTAAATTTGCCCCTGGTGGCCTAATCTGGAAGACAAAGTTCATAGCCCTGAGTAAACTATGGTAACAGGCCTAAGAAATCCTTGAAGTCTGAATTTTCAATGTACGAACTAGAGTTTTTCCAGCTGGTGCCTCAGTCTCAAAACTAGCTGACCAAGCTCATTAGTTTATGGATGCTTCAACTATTCAGTCAGTCCATGTATTAGTAAACACAGCTCTGTGCATCAGACATTGCTCTAACACTGAAAGGAAGACAGCTTCCAGTCCTTGGGAGGTTGCATTATATTGGAGGGAAGAGGAACACAAAAAACCAAGACAGAGATTAAATTTCAGGGTCTGGACTTGGCGAGTCAAGGCCTGGCTTAGATGGAAATGTCTGTGCAGACTTCCAGAAACTGAGAAGCAAGCACAGGCTAGTCCTATCCACTGAAGAAAAATGCAGAATCCTGTGCACCTTCCTCATGGAGCAATGTCCACCCACACTGGAACCCAGACTTCAGCCCTGGCCACTTAAGGGTCACAGAGAGCCTGGTGAGCCTCCCCCAGTTAGCAACACATCCTGTCACAGCCCCAGCCCCTACCACCTGAGAATCATCACAAGACTTGCATACCTCCCACAAGTAGCACCACCCACTCCCACTGTGACCCTAGCCACTGCCACCTAAGGACCAGCTGCATAACAGTGCAAGCCTTCCATAGACTCCCAAGTATCTGCAGCAAGTCCCTGCTATTTCTCTGGAAGGTCTGTTGTTTGCTATGCTCAGAAGCTGCAGCCTGCTCTAGCTGAGCTAAGACTACTTCTGATACCTCACTTGCACTTCAACACCTGAGTGGCCCTGGGATTGAATCTCAAGTACCAATCAGATGTCCCATAACTTGACAAGTTTGGATAATAGCAAACAGGGATTTAAACAGCCACTCAACAAAAATGGAACAAATATGCTTACCAGAAAACACTACCAATATGTAAATGTTGAAGTGGATACACACACAATATTTAGTTATTTTATGAGAGCCACACCTAATAATAATTCTCTTTTTTTACTTAAAAATCCTTGCTTTCATGCTTAATGAATACCAAGATGCCACTCAAAGGAGTAAAACAGAAGTAGTATTTGTAGGCTCCAATATAATCACCTGAATACATTTGCCATGTTGCAAATTGCAATAAAATATTCAAGCTGGAAAAAAAACATTACCCATAGCCTAACTCTGGATACCTAGGTGCTACCACAAAATAGATCGTGAGAAACCAACACAATATTTCTCCTCCAAAAATTAGTACTACCATGGTCATGTTCCCTGGGAAAACAACTTAGATGATAGACAAGACAATGATTTAGAAATCACAATTGTAAATATGTTCAAGGAGCTCAAGAGGATATGGGTGAACATAAGCATTTAAACACTGCGAGTAGGTGACAGTGACAGGAAAACACATTAGGGTAGGAATGCATCTTAGAACTCTCATTTGCTGGGAAATCTGTGCACATCACAGAATAAAAAGAACCAAAAGGAAAAGATAGGTTAGACAAAATAAATTAGGTAAATGGGCCTAAATATTGGGAATTCACAATTCCACCCAGTGTGGTTGCTATAGGTGATATTAGCAAAGCACTTTATTAGATACGACAGAGAATCGCTCTTCTGCTTTGTCTTGGGAATAAGACAAGAAGGGTCAGTGACTGGAGTGACTGATTCCTCTGTGGTGGCCCAGCGTTCTGTAGCTGCTAACTTTGGTGTGCACATGCAAGGGAGCTAAGTATATTCCTGTTTTTCATAGTAATATGTAGGACACATCACAATCTCTGTTCCTTTTGTTTGTTTATTTGCAATTTAGAATAACCAGCTTCACAAATCCCACTTGAGAGTAGAGAATGTTCTCATCTTCCTGAACCCTCTGCTCCACTGTTGGCACCAGCTCATAATCCTATCAGACCTGCCTGATATTGCAAAATGTCCAAGGAAGCCTCTGTTTTTCAAGTATGAAGTATTCTCTCAGTTCTTGAACATCTTGTTTCAACGCTCATTATTTTATTGTCTATTGAATTATTCATTTGTGATAAGCATTGTGGTGCCCTTATTGTGACTTCGGGAATCAAATGGATCAATACAATAATACCATATTCCTGCTTTTTAGTCTAAAAATTCTAATGGTGCCTAGCCCTGGAAGTAGCTTCAAATACCTCTACACAGAGAGAGAGAGAGAGAGAGAGAGGAGAGACAGAGAGACAGAGAGAGAGAGAGAGAGAGAGAGAGAGAGAGAGAGAGAGAGAGAAACACACACACATAGACAAGTACAAACATAGGAACAAAGAGCTTAAGATACCTTTCTCTGTCTTTCTCCAAAGTATTCCATGTCTATAAACTCTACTTCATAGAAAATATTGGTTCATGACTAATAATGTTCAATTAGTTGGTGAAGGAAACACAAAATTCACTAATTTCTCACACTGTATTTAAGTACTCTGATTATGTCTACTGTGAACAATTTCATCTTTCACTACATACATATTTTCTCTCCTTTGAGTACACAAAACATAGTCTATTAAATAGTCATTGAGCTAGTCAATGTTACAACATTCATTCTTACACATATACAAGTTGTAACATCTTAGGGTTGGTTATAGAAGGCTTGCTAAGTTGACATTTATGGGACTAGCTAAACTCAATTCCCCCATTTCTTCCTTTTATGAAGTCCTCAGCTTACTTTGGAGATATTCTTGCAGACTTCCATGTCTCATCAACTCTGTAATAATATAAATTGGATCTTCTAAAGTGCAAACAGCATAAAGCTGGATAAGCTTTGGATGTCTTAGGCTCTTCATTATCTGTGCCTCCCTCAGGAAGTCATTTGGATCCATTGAACCTGAAACAAGAAGAGGAAGAAATCACTTTATGTCGTTGAGGCATTCCTAGCCCCCACAGCAGCCTGGTGGGAATCACTGAGATTGCCTCCTGCCTCTTGGTAATGTAAGAGCATCAATGTCACAAATCTTCAGAGTTATCAAAGAATGGAATCAGCTCAGCCTGGACAACCTAATTACTACATGTGCCATTGTGTCAGGGGTATGTAGTTTATGTGCTACGGTGTGTAGGGGAAGAGCAAGTGGATTCAAGCCCATCTGAAAAATGTAAAGACAGAGAGATACTGACAGTGTAATTGATGACACAAGGTGGGCATCTTCACGTGAATAAAGAATGCCTGTTAACACAAGCACGGGCAGACGCAGAATGTTTAATTACTCCAGGCAGAGTACTTGGTTCCAAATCCAGAAAGACTAGCTGTTGCCCTGTCCTTAGTATTCACTGTCCACTCTGGGAACACCTGAAAACATCATAAAACAATGACTTTGCCACAGTCCATGGTGGAGTATGCCATTGTGGAAATATAAGGTATAGGCCAAATAAATATTCATGGACCTTTCTAAAAGCTAACAGTTGTATTTCATCATCTTATATGT